AGTACATAGGGTTGCCAGGAGTCTGGTATTCTATCGGGCAGTCTGGTATTTGCGTTCTTTGTCCTGTAAAAAAAAATCAGAGAATACCGAACATGTGCAATGTCCAGTACTCTCTGATTTTTCCAGCTGCGCACCGGACAGAAGCCTGGCATAGGCGAGGGGGGCAGCTAGAAGGTGGGGCCACGATCGGCTCTAGAGCCTGTGATTGCACAGAAACCTGGTGGGGGTGGGGAAAGTGGCTGGGAGTCCCAGCTGGGAAGCGGGGTTTTGATTGCCGCTTATCCCGCATTCTTTTTGTCCGGTATTTTTTAGGAGACCATCTGGCAATCCTACATACTCACCATGCAGGGTGGGGCTCTGTGTATGGTGTGTCACTGAATGAGGGGAATCCTATAGATATGGACCATGTATCTAAGCTACTATTTCTTCCTCTTTCTCTTCCCGCACCCTTTTTAACTATCAGAGCCAGCTAGGCCTCTGGGGGTTGAGTTTCTGCCTGGTAAAGGCATAGCAAAAAGCATGGCAACAATTCAGCCCAGGTTTTCTATCATGTTTGACCATGGAGTGCATTCATACTGCTGTGTTTCAGAGCTAATGCCAAGGTGCTTTGTATTTTCAAAAGGTGTAGATGCTTGTTGTGTATTTTTCTTTCCGATCATTATTGCCATGAAAAAGCAGGTCACACAAGGCATCCCTATACAAGTTCATGGTGCTTTATGGTCCCTCAAGGGCCTATGCAGCAAGCAGGAGCCTACAAAAATGAGTCCCAGAGCCCAGATATACAGCCCCTCACTTGCAGGGCATGTGTTGTAGTGCTAAAAATAGCTGTGTTGGCTCATGCCCTGAAGATCATGCCCCAGCCTCAGACTCAATGGCTGCACAGCTAATTTTAGTGTCACAGTGTGAGGCAGAGTTTGTAAATCAGCGCTCTTGAGACTTGCTGCTGCAGGATCCTGCTTACAGTGTAGATGTGCCTGCTATGCACCATGGTCTTTCATAACCACTCTCAGCAAGGGCTGTGCTGTTCTGTGGTTTCTCCCCATTCTAGCTTGCCTGTCTAATAAATTGAGCATACATCATGATATGAGACTGTTGCTCAGGTGACAAATGCAATGGAAATGAACCCAGGAGATCTGGGTTCAGTTCCCCGCTTTCTATGTAAGTTTGGACAAGTAATTTACCCTCAACTGCCCACCTGTGCTTCCTTTCTCCCATCTGGTATTCTGATATGTCTATTTAGATTGTGAACTCTTCTCTCATAGCACAGTGAGGTCCTGATCCCACTTGAGGCCCAAAAGTACTACTAATAGTAGGCACCCTTCAGTCTCCAGAGACCATGGTTACGCTCACCTGAGAGGTAAAGAATTTTAATCAGTTGATTTTATGGCAGCCACAAAGGTGGTTTAAGGGACTCACTCAAGAGAGACTATTTCTGCTGCATCTGTCCCATTTAAAGGCAATGTTTTAAACCTTCGGGATTTGCCTTCAGTGAGCTCTCGTCTCCTCCGCTAAGCTGGACTTCTCATAACTCTGGAGACCTGTTGTGTCCAAAGGCTGCAGTTTTGAGTGTGATCTTCCCATTTGTCCACATCAATTTCTTTGAGGCCTTGCAAAGATCCTTGTAAGAAAATTTTGGACATCCTTTGAGTCTTTTTTCAGATGCCAGTTTGCTGTACAGAATGCCCTTCTGTGCTCTAAAGCCATTCACATTGTAGGGGATTCTTACAGGGAAACTAGAAAAGCACCAATTTCTTTGTTAGTTTTTTTTAAAGGTATGTCCACTGCTTACAGTGTAATCAACTTACTAGCAACCCTATTGAGCCTGATTCTCCAAAGCTTGGCACCTGGTGATCATGGGTGTAGCACAATGTGGGTGTAGCACCCTGCCAAATGGAGGTGCATTGGTGTGAATGATGACTAGACATAGCACACAGCAGAAGTGAAGTAAGCCCACTAGGTTTGTAAGACTGTAAATTACTTTCGAAATCAAATTAGCCTAGGGAAAATGTAGGGTTTGATGCGTGCTTTGAAATTCAAGATTAATAACATGTCTCAGCAGTAGGATAGGGAGGCACGGTACAGCTTGTTGAACTGTGCTTTTACATAAGAACATAAGACCGGCCATACTGGGTCAGACCAAAGGTTCATCTAGCCCAGTATCCTGTCTGCTGACAATGGCCAATACCAGATGCCCCAGAGGGAGGAATCACAACAGGTAATCCTCACGTGATCCCTCCCCTGTCACCCACCTCCAGAGGAACAGAGGCTAGGAACGCCATTCCTACCCATCCTGGCTAATAGCCATTGATGGACCTAACCTCCACGGATCTATCTAGCTCTTTTTTGAACCCTTTTCTAACCTTTACCACATCATCTGGCAAGGAGCTCCACAGGTTGATTATGCGCTGAGTGGGGGGAAAAAAACCCTTCCTTTTGTTTTAAACCTGCTGACTATTAATTTCATTTGGTGACACTTATCTATGTGCCTGTCTAATAAATTGAGCATATACCATGATATGAGAATGTTGCTCATGTGAGAAATGCAGTGGAAATTGACTCGGGAAATCTGGGTTCAGTTCCCAGCTTCTTATGTAAGTTTGGGCAAGTCATTTAGCCTCAATAAAATAGATTCCCTTATACATCTCTGGACTTTACTCATTGGGAACTGTGTACTACTTTTGCCTCACATGTAAAGTGTGGAACACTACGTCAGCCCATGGATCATGCAAGTAGAGGGCTAAATTGTGCTTTTAGTCACAGTCCTCAGTAAGGAATGGGACAGCAACATACTGTCTCTGTAGGCGCGCTAGAGATGTTCTACGTGGGCCAGACAATACTTTCTGTAGTGTAAGGGGAGGGCAATTATTGCTAACCTCATTAGAGTACCTCTCCTCTACAAATAGACAACTACAACTTGACCATGCCAGCTGACTCAGGCACAAGGAGCTCAGGCTAAAGGCAGTCCTTTAGCCTGGGCCCTACAAACCTGAGTCAGCTTACAGGACAGTGCAGGATGTCTAATTGCAGAGGAGATGTCTCCAAGGGTGGGGAAGGCACTCCGCCCCCTTCCTCCCTCTAGGCATTTTTATCTGGATGGGTTTAATGTGTTGTCAGTTAATGTGAAGTAATTAGCACACTTGTAACAGTGAATGTGGACACACCTTCATACAGTTGTGCTTTAGGAGTAGCCTGCCCTAGAACAAGTCTGCTGGGGACTATCCACAGCTGCTTTCACAACATGTTAAGCACCTTGAATGTCAGACAGACCTTTCAAGGCAGGGATTCTCAAACTCCATTGCACCGCAACCCCCTTCTGACATCAAAGATTACAACATGATCCCCAGAGGGGAGATTGAAGCCTGTGCCTGCCTGAACCCCACTATCTGTAACCTTAGCCCCGCCAGTGAGGGCTTCGGCCTGGGACATTGGGGCTCGGGCTTCAGCTTCAGGCCCCAGCAAGGCTAGGCCAGCTTTGGCTACCCCATTAGGGTCCTGACCCACCATTGAAAACCCTTGTTCTAAGGGAATGTAAATATGGCTGGTAGCAAAACACTGTCCAAGCATGCAAACATTGTTATTTTTGCCTGGCATTGCCCCTCTGTTCAAGAGTGTGTGGAAGCTGTTTTGCACTCTCTTCCTTCTGCACACACACACAGGGCTGGGTGTGGTTTGACCTAAAATCTGTATCCTTCCATCTTCAGCCCATGTCCAAATCTTCAGCAATTGACAGGACTCCTAGCACCATACTTCCTTCAGCTAACTCTGAACCCCACTAGCTTCTGTGCCCTCCCTCTTTGCCCCACTCCATCAGTAGCGGTGGCCCACCATTCAGGATAATGATTATCAGTAGCTAAATCTATACTTGTTCCTCGGTCTTTACCTACGGACCCTTGTTGTCTAACCTTTACCCATCCTCTATGGTGATGAGAGGGTCACCTGCTGCTGCAGTAGTGTAGCTGACTGCCTTCTGTTTTTGTCTTATCCACTTTGCAGTCATGCCACTGGTTTCATGTATTTAGAGCATAGGAGGGAGCCTGGATATTAACTCAACTATTCGTCTACCTCAGTGTTTCTCAACCAGTATAAGGGTACTCAAGAGAAGTCTGGGAGGGTACGGCAACACAACTGAAATTTGGAGAGAACTGAATTTTTGGTTTAAGTTTTACAGCGCTTTATTAGTTTTTTACTTTTTACACCCAAAAATTTCATTGCCTGCTTGGCTACGATTAAGTTGTTTAAACAAATGTGTTGTAATGGTAGAAAAAAATGTTGTGTCTGAAAACTGTAGGTACTGAGGGTACTTATTTTTTTTTAAAGGGGTACTTTATAAAAAAAAAAAAAGGTTGAGAAACACAGGTTTAGCACATAGTAGTGTAAAATGTATCTCATTTGGAAGGGCTAGCTAGTGCAATCTTTAAATACTTGTCAGGAGAAAGCCCTACCTGGAGAAGGGAGGAGACTGACTATAAACTAAAGGGACTCTCATTCCCAATCGTCAGTGTGTATTTGCAACCAAGTGCCAGATTTGTAGTGGTATATTTAGGTATCTAAAGGTGCACTAGGATTTTTTGAAGTACTTGGGTACCTATCCCCCATGGGCATTGAATTAATTAAATGAGTTTTAAAAACTCATTTAACATTCTCATGCAGACAAGGCCCACATCTTGAGGATATGTCCTGCTAATCAGCTACATATGGATATATGTCATGTTAAAATGAGATTGTAGATTTTTAATGCTTCTAAATTAGAGGCTTTTTAATGAAGTGTTTATAAAGTGTTCTAGAAAGGTGTTAAAGCCCATTTCAGATTCCAATATAGACAAAACTATCTATTTTATCATGTATGCAATAAAGCCATGTTGTATCATGGGCTGCCTATGCCTGTATATATCTGTCAATTTATAGCCAACTCTTGCTTGGGGGAGGTGGACAGAACATCACTTTCCTCATTTAACTAACTGGGTGTTTAAAAGACGAAGAGTAAATAATTAAATTCAAAACAGAGTGCAGAAAGTCTTTATGGTTAAAAATATTTCAATGTTTGAAATAACCAGAGACCACTGAGCGGATAACAAGCTGGCTTGATGTTACCAGAAGAGTTCATACAGAAAATACCAATATAACATAATGGTTGAAGGCATAAAACTAGATAAGACTGACTAGAAATAGCAGCACCTGTTAGATTTAGGCTTCACATGCAATTAATGATAAGTCATTTACAGCAAAGATAAAGCAGCAAGACTCAGTAAATGAAAATTGGAAAGCCATATTCTTTGTTAAAGTAAATACGTCATTTTAAAAGTCCTCAATTAATTCCATAAAGCCCACTTGCACATGCATTAAAATTGTGGCAGTTAAGAGCCCTGACCCAACTTTAACACTTGCACTGTGCAATGCAAGGTCCATGTTTTTCTGCCTCTAGCTGTGCAACAAGTCCAAAGTGCTTAAGCTGAGGTGAATTAGGGAAGTGAACTGAGCTCCTCTGGATTCTCCTCCCACACATACCCATGTAGGAAGGGCTTCAGTAAGAATAGAGCCTGATCTGTTTATTCTGTGTGTCATGCTCTATTCCGGGGAACTCACATTGCTAAAAGGGAACAAATGTTCTATGTACGAGTTCCCAATCCTGCCAGTTGCAGGGCACCCTCAATGTTTGTTGAGTATCTTCCCTGGAAGTAGATGGCATTCTGCTCTTCAAAGGATCAGACCAAATTTTGTACTAAACTAATACAACAAATGGTTAAAATGATAAGACTACACATCAGGACTACCCCTGGAAATCTCATTTTCATCCTAGCCTAAGTCTAAAGCAATTGATTTTTAAAATCTTCCTGCACTTGTTGTTCACAGAAAGATGCCTTTTGTCTTAAACAGATTCTCTTTACAGTCATTTTTACTGGGAAGATTGCCACTTACCCAAGATTAAAAGTTTAATAAATTATAGTCACTTTCTATGTAAAAAAACTATGATCTAAACTCTGTTTCATCTCTAAATACTAAGTGAGAATTTTAACAGACATGTTGAGTTTATATAATTATATTCACGCACCTCAATTCTTAGTGGTTATAAATTTGGCAAAGCTCTTTTCTCCATTACAGCTATGCCAATTTATATCAGCCAAGGACCTGGTCTGTAGGCCCTACATCTTCCAGTGTGAATTGTCTCTCAAGCTTTGTGTTGTAAACTGATCCATTAGAACATGGAAAGTAATTAACATCTCAGTAATGCATACTGAAATTTCAAATACAGTAAAATGTGTAATGCATATCCAACAAGGATTTGGTAGGATTGATGCTATGATTTCATACTTATTAAGCACAAAGGTGCCAAATTCAGCCCTTATGTAAACAAGAGCAAATCCATGCATTTCAGTGGAGTTGCATCTGTTTATACCAGGCCTAAATATGACTTAAGAAAGCTTAAAAATCAGAACTTCATTTAGCACAAATGTCTCTGGTTAAATTAAAGGCCTGATCCTGCAGTCCTTGTGTAGGTGAAAAGGACTGCCAGTAAAACTCAATGGAGTCTTGCTCTTGTAAGGAAGGCAGGATTGGACCCTGAATAATCAGTATCATACTTGCACACATACTCTCATCCTTTTTTTTTTTCTTTATATAGACTGGTCTAAAGAAAACTCCTTTCATGTTCTGATCCTTTTGCATGGCATTGCACAGTTATCAGTGTACAAGTCATTTTTTTGTCTGCAGGCAGTTCCGTTGATATGGTTGATGCTTTCACTAATACAGTCTGACTCGGAATTCCCTTCGTTAGTCATCTGAAACACACAAAGTTTCAATTAATAAGCATATGTTTGTATCCGTCTCTAATCATGAACTTTGGCTTTAGGGTTAGGAAACTGTCTGAGTCTCCTGTTTCAGTGAAGTAATTTCATTCAGACCAGTGGAGTTACTCCACTTTTACTCAGGTGTATGCAAGAGAAGGCGTAGGTCCCATCTATGGTATTTCTTGAGTGGTCATTAGCATAGGATCTTTGCCTTAAAAGTGTCCTACTGGAAGAGTCAATTATTGCTTTCCAACCATTCTGGACATCATAAGAACACACCATACAGCATATTCTTTTTAGGGAACTCTGCAGGGCTCTCTGTAATATGCACATTTTAGTGCAAAAAGAATTGTATGTGTATGTTTTGTTCAAGGTGAACATTACAATTTACGGGGCCCAATCAAAAGTATGCCTATTCAAAAGCATGAGATGAAGTAAAACCCTTGAGATTTTTTGAAAATAATATTTAAAGAATACAATCTGAGCTCTTCACATTTGTTCAGTAACAGGAATCTTACAGATTATTTTCTGACTTCTCTTAACATAGATAAGATTCTGATCTGTTACATCAATTTAGATCACTTACACCTCTACTAAAGTCATTTGTACGTGCTTCTCAGCACTTTTTTCAAGGCCACCAAAAAGAAAAAATACATACTTTTCTTATATGTTGTGCAGATGTAGATCTTTCATTTCCTGCCCTGACTCCAGTTGCTTCTTCCAAAGCTAAAACAAGCAAATATATTCAAAGATCATGCTTTCATTACCAAGCATAGTCACTGTTACTATAATTGCACCCATAAAAAGACAATGTCTATTACCTTGTCAACTACTAGCCACATATTTACCGCATTGAAAGATAACTTAACTGAAGAATTAATTAACCCTTTTTAACACACGTGTGAGGAGAATGATGAATTACTTATTATCAGTAGCTTGAGAATGATAGGCATTTAGACCAGAGGTAACATTTGCAAGCTTAGCACTTCTGTACAGATTTGCCTACGATCAGTGCATAAATAAAGGACTTAATTTTGAGTTAATTTACACAAGTGGAACTCCACTGTGTTAGATCCTCAGTTGTGGCTAAGGAGTACTCAGTACAAATGAGGAGCAGAAAGTGTAAAAGGTGCCTTTATGCTCCCACACTTCTAGGGTCATTTGGTACTGGGCTCAAATCCCTGGCCCAGAACAGAGAAGGTTGCAGGATTACAGGGATACCAAAAAGGCCAGAATTTGATCTATCATGTTGAAAATGGTGCAATGAAAATCTGTTGAATCCAATAGAGGTCACTTTGAAAAGTGTAGCCATTTATTGATCTATCTAACACCTGTGCACCTCTTAGAAGTGAGTGGGCCAAATGCTGTGATGATTTTCACCTTCTGCAACTCTTAAGTTCAAAACCTTTGAAGGCAGGAACTCTGTTTCTGGTGGTACTTCTAACATGGGGGGCAGCAAACAGGCACTAATAAATAATGGGACTGTGGCAGAGAGAAATGCAGGATTTGGCCCGCCAGGTTTGCATAGATGCAAATAAAGGGCCATATATGTAGTTTATAATAAACTGCATTAAGAGGATAGAAAAAGGAACAATTCTTCAAGGACAAACGTTCTAAAACAGGGGCGGGAAAGCTTTTCTGGGTTGGGGGCTGCCGACCCACAGAAAAATCAGTTGGGGGCTGCACACAAGTGAGAAGCCCCTGGCTGAGGAGGAGAAAGACATTCCTCTCATTCCCCTCTTACACCAGAGCCCGGGGGCGGGGACAGCCTAATAGATTTTGTGTGCTCCAGTGCTGCCTGGCCAGTGGGGGGCTGGAGTGCCAGCATGGGCTCTCCAATGCTGGAGGAGGTCCTGAATCTTGGGGGAGGGGGAATGGATCCGGGCAAACCAGGGGCTTCCCCACCCCTGTTCTAAAAGCTAGCTTTTCATGTTAAACTTGCCTGCTATTTTCTGCACACAGTGGTCTAAATTTCATTAGTTTCCTGCCTGCCATTCGGAAAGGAACAAGGAGGGACATTCTGTAATGCAAGTATACCTGTCAGGAGTTCATCAATTTGGTCCACTACAAACTTTGCATCTTCCACAGTGAAGCACATGGGTGGTTTAAATTTCAGAATGTTTCTGTAGGGTCCATCTGCACTCAGAAGGATCCGCTGTTCTTTCAACCTGTGTAGAAAACAAACACTGAACGTGTAAAAAGACATTTGAGTGCAAATGTCAGGATTCAGAGAGGTGCATCAGATCCAACGCCGATCTGCTGTATGCAGATGCAACAATGCTGGAGTTCAGGGAATTACATCTGCTTGCACCAGGCCAAGGGTTAGGCCACTATCTTGAGTTTTCTACTACTAAACCAGAGGTCATATTCATCTCCAAGTTAAGTTGCGTGTGTACATCCACAGGAGAAAAAAAAACCCCAAAGGTTTTCAACCTCCTTAAGAAAAGGCTGGTAAATAGTTAGACTGAAACTGCCCCAATGCACTTTATGCATGGACACAGAAGATAAATATTTACTTGTAGATGATATGCTGGGCTTCAGCTGTGGCAGGTGTTCTCTTTTGCTGATCCTTTACCAGATCGACTCCAACAAACAAACCAACACCCCTACGACATAAAGGGAGGAAGAAGGATAAGATCCATTGTCCATTAGTAAAGCCTTTCTCTTACACAGATGGTAACACTGCTCCAGCAAGTGAGTCAAAGAAACAGTATTGAGAGCTTCCCTCCCCCCCCTTTTCGCCTCATCTGAAGCAGTGGGTTTTGTCCACAAAAGCTTATGATAATATATATAAAACTAATTTTAGTCTCTAAGGTGCCACAGGACTGCTCATTGTTTTTAAAGGTACAGACTACCACCACTACCCCTCTGAAACTTTTAAAAGATACCATACCTTCTTCAATGGTATTTGTAAAGATATACATGTGCTGACTTACTAAATTTGTTTTGTCAATTAAAGAGAAAAGCTGTTTGTTATATTCTGTAGGTCCAAGCTATCTGAAACTTGATTTGTTGTCTTTTATACATACAGCTTGGATTGGAATTTTAACACAAGACATGAATAAAAACAAAACCCAGGAAATAAGGATCCATTTTTGGGATAATTTACAAATAAAACCAAGGCATAATAATCACTAACATTTCCTCATATTTGTCCTGATTGCTGTTGGGCTATCAGAATAACCATGTCTGTGTCAAACCTTCTGCCCGGAAACTTCTTGATTGTACTGTGAGGTACCTACCGAACATCTCCTACTAAGGGATGTTTTTCTTTTTGTTTGTTCAGCAGCTCTGTTAGATATTTCCCTACTCGTACGGCATTTCCTTGGAGATCTTCTTTTTCAATTACATCAAGTACAGCCAGGCCAATAGCACAGGACACTGGATTGCCTCCAAACTGAGGGCAAAGACAAAGGGGTAAACAAAGTGGTTGAAATTCCATTCCGCCTCTCTCCTTGGAGAGGGAGGAGAGCTTCACTACCATTTCCCATGTCAGCAAGTTGTGAGTAAAGCTTAAAGAAAGGGACTGTAGGCAAGATTGTGCTTAGTCCCTGCTTGGTTGCTCAGGAGGGAAATGGGATACAGGATCCTCCATCCCTTGCCCCTATCCCCCAAGCCATGCAATGCAATGGGGTGCAGACAAGATTTTCTTCCCCGGTTATTGCTCCTGAGACTTGAGTGCAACAACATAGGACTGTCATGCTGCATCAACCCTGAGGTCCATATACTCCAGTATCCTGTTATAAACCATGGCCAGCATTAGATACTTCAGAGGCAGCTGTAAGAAAGATGTGGGGTAATCTGTCCCATTTCCCTTCCCCTCAAGGTCTCATCCTATCTTTTAATCATTATAGAGCAGTTTAAGATCCAAAATATGAAGTTTTACTTCCAATACTCATTATTTGGCATTATCATAACTCTGGATATTCTTGTGATCTATTTAAATATTGAATCTCCCCTTTTTGGGGGCAGATTCAGAAATTGTACAGTCACTGGCCTGCCTCACCCCCATTATTTTGGTCCAGCAACTGAGAGAGACAAAGGGATGATGGTGTTGAGGTAGCCAGCCAGCTGTCCATATGGACAAGGGAAGATCCATGTTCAATATCCCTTCTGTGTGTGAGCTCAGCAGGACAACATGAGCCATTTTCTTCTGCTGGCTAAGGTGGACTGTGACAAGCGTTTGTTCTTTTAAAGAAATCGACCTACCTGAAGCCTGATGGTGGTGTTTCTAAAGTTCCTGGGGAACAGCATTTACTGCATCCCAGTCACACAGTCCCAGAGCCACTGCCCTCTAAAGCCTAAAAGGACTGAGTCTAAATAACAGAACTTGGCTACATTTAGTGACAAGACTCCATCACAACAGAAGAGATGGCAGACCTCTGAATGAACAGGCAAGATCAAATCCAAGTAGTGGCTTTGCCCTATGTGCACAGCTCCAGTGTTCCCTGTTACAGGGATGATGTCCCTGAGAAGGAAAGAAATTAAGGGCCCCATGGAATTTGGCTGCTTCTGGGTGCTGAGCACTTCTGAAAACATGATAGCTACTTAAGTGGGAACAGCTCTTCTGAAAATCTGGTCCCACAAGTTGAAACTGAGGTTTGGTGGTGTTTTTTTTTTTTAATTTGGGCCTTTACAGCTCTCCAGCTCTATCAACTTAGCATCTTTTACCAGCACTGAATCCAGATTAAATTTATTGAAGGAGCAAAAAGGAAAACGCTCATCTGGAAAGTTACCGTGTTGAAATACTCCAATCCAGAGGCACCGAAGGCTTCAGCAATCTCTCTTGTTGTAACCACGCAAGACATTGGATGGCCATTGCCAATTGGCTTTCCCATGGTGACAATGTCAGGTACAAAGTCTTTGCCTTGTAGCTGGAAAGCCCAAAAATGTTTCCCAACTCGACCAAAACCAACCTGGACTTCATCTGCTATGAAGATGCCACCTGCCTTATGCACATATCTAGAAACAAAAGGAACAGACCAAATACCACAGCACATAACAGGATTGTAGTGTCCAGGTCTAATTTTAGCACAAAGGAGGGTGTTTTACAGAAGTTTGATTTGTCCCTGCCCCAATGAGCATACAATTAACTTAGAAGATTTCAGACAAAGCCCCACAAGTATATGTTATGATTGATGTTTAAATTACTCCATTTCAAGTCATTTGTGTGCTTTAGAGTGATACATACAGGGTCTGTATTTTTAAAGTGATTTATAACTAAAAATTCCATTGGACATGAGTTATGTAATGACATCTAAAAGGTGAAACAAACTATGGAAAAAAAAATCCCACCCCTTATGGATTGATAGAATAAGCCCATTGCCTCAACCTATAACCTCTGCATAACGCAGCTCTGCCCGTTCCAAGTATTGTACATACTCTGCCACTTTCTGGAAGTAGCCTGCAGGTGGAATTATTTGGCCTCCGCAACTCTGCATGGATTCAGCAATAAAGGCCGCAATCTACACAAAAGAAGATGAAGTAAGAATAGTGTTCCTCAATCTAGCCTTTGCAAATAAACTAATACTAAAGAAATGGTGAACATCTAGATGACTCTAATAACCTGGTAGGATGGATAGTTGTGGTCTGTTGTCAATGGCTATGGCGTGAGATTTCCATTGGGGTGCCCAAATTTGCAACACCGAGGGTCATGTTGGCAGCCGGTCGCAAATCCAAAGGGCCACATCCAGGACCTAATCCACCCACCACTGATGTCCTGCTGGCTTCAGTGAGAGTTGGATCAGGCTCATAAGGACTTATGTAAGTTTACACAGCAATTTCAATAAAAAAAATTGCCCCATGGAGAGGGGAAGACAGAGTTTGCATTTTTAGAACACCCTGGCTATGCTTTGGGCACCCCTACCTCACACAAATGACGAGACAAGGAGCACATTAGGGCAAGGCACATAACAAGAGACTCTAGCGGTGAAGTAATTCCAGTTGCTGGGAATGAAAAAAGTAGTTATTTCAAATCGGGAAGGGCAACAGCAGCAGATCAGATACACATCAAGTTTCACATTCCTTCTCAACTTTCTGTGCCTCACAGACAATGTTACCCCAGATTTCCCAGGTGTGTCACCGCAAGTCTGCTACGCAACAGATTGCCTCCCACACTGCTTGTGCAACCCTCCCTGAGCATCAACAGGTGCAAGCGAGCTGGCCAGCAGTGCAGTCTTCCTGGAAACAAGGTCGAGCAGTAACGTGTAAAGAAGCGTACACTATATTCGAAGAGGCACGCTACTGCCAAACAGTACGAAGGTCCCAATAGCATGTGAGACTTTAGCCTTTATCACAACTTGTCCTGTCACAGGTCTACGGCACCAAAACCTAAGAAGATATGTAAAAGGAGGGAAAAAAGGAAGACAAGAAAAGAAAAAAAAACTGTCCGTTAGTCAAAAAAAAGAAGAAAAAAATTGAAGAAATTAAGACAGGTGATGTAACCTTTAGGACTAAAAGGGGACTGTTTGATTCAATATCCACTATGCTCTTTCTATTGGCTTTAGCAATCTTTTAGATCAAGCCTTAGCACTCTTCAAAAACAAAACAAACAAAAAAAACCAACAGCAAAAATTGCCTTACTTGCCCAGGAAGCACTGAGTAACGGATGTTCTAAATTAATTTTTATGGCAGTTAGGGGTGGTGGTTAATGCACACATGTACATGGATTCCAAGTCACAAGGTGTGAAAATGCAATAAGTTCATCTTAAATGTGCTTGAATACAATGGTGAATTTAGAAACATGATTTTCCTCATTTATCTGTTCTCCAGATAGTGGTTTTCTACATCTCCTGTCTAGGACTTTCACCACAATCTCTCAAATAGGACTTGAAAATTTGACTGTGTTTCAAAGGCTCACAAAATAGTGAATTAAGCAACTTTGGGTTTATTTGCTCCTTTATGAGTCTATTCTCCTCTGGATTCTTGCATTATAATATTCATGGACGTTAACGGGAAACATGAAAGTGCATCAAGGGGAAAATGGAAGAATATAAAACTCATAACAGAAGAGTGGAGGCAGAAAAGGAGAGGAAATTGCATTGTATAGATGCTGATCTTTTTTTCTCCTTTTCCCCCTGTTCTGTTGCCCACAGCTAAAGTTTGATTACTAAACATGCACAGGGTCACAGTGTTTCTATAGCACACTACAAACCTTGCCCCCCTTCTTCTCAACTTCTTCAATAATCTTTTTCACATCATCTGCATAAGCACTTGCTGGATCTGGATGATCATCCCTGTATTTTCCTCTGTAGATATCTGGAGAAGGAGCCTGAAAACAACAGAATTTATTTCAAATGCATGCCTCTTCGTAACATTCATTTTCTCTTGGACAGTCACCAGTGCTTTTCATTTGGGGTGTAACTCTATAGGAAAAAAACCAACCCATTCTCTCATACATATCAAAGTTTGGATATTCTGATTTTCTGTCTTGAACTTCATCTACATTATCGGGGTTGAAGCTTGCATCATGTATTGAAGGAAAGATGCTTTCCTCTAGATTTGAAATATGTATTTGCCTAATGTCTTCTCTTCCAGGCCCACTCTAGTGGTGAGCCACTCGTAGGAAATACAGACACAAGTAACTGTATGAAGGCAGGACTATTCTGCTTTTTTAAGTTTAACCCATTGAGGAATAACCTTGTGGCTATTACTCAGAGTGATCTCAATTCACTTTCCTTAGTGGCAGCCTTAGCCATTCAGCCCTAACAACCCTTACTTAAGGCTTCCTTTCTTCAAAGAGCCTTCCACTCCATGCATCTGTTAAGCCCACTGCCACTTCCTGGTCCTGACTCTATTTCTTAACAGACTGCAAGATGCCCCTTCCTTCTGTGGGAAATCTGTGCTTCAGCTATACCACTAGGTCCCCATTCTGTGAGAGAAGGGGACAGCTGTACCCTACAAAGTGCATGAAGAAGATTCCAAGGGCCAGAGAGTGGTCATTAGAAAGTAGAAACCAACCTGGGCATGGAGAACTGTAGAACCAGTTACAGAGTGGGAGAGAGTTGGATAGGGTCATACATGTTACTTTGACCTGGAGCGTTGTATCTGGGGGTTAACTCTACCTTTAACAGACGCTTACTGATTTCTTTGCACCGTAGCTTCATGTATCTTTACTGTACATTGTACCACAATTCATGATAACATCATAAGGAAGTTCAATATCAAAGCTAATACATAGCCACTTGTTATAAATCCAGCAGCAAACTTTTCTGCTGAGTATAATCCTTTGATATAAAATGACAGGAGTGTGTCGTGTTACAAGTTAGAAATAATTTAATTGCTGAAAATAAAACCAGCACATGGGCAGATTTTGAAATTACTCTAGAGGAAGGAGGAGAAAACACCAACAAAGGACAGTAATTTTATATGCAACTGGAAAAAATACTCACCACATGAACAAATTCTTTCTTGCCTTCCTTCCCCAGTTGATTAAATTTATATGGACTAATGTCAATCAGAGAAGAAACATGACCATGGTAAGCACTGTAATGGGAGTTAAATGCAAAATCATGATCATTCAGTTATTAGACAAGCTAAAGTTCACATCTAAAGACACACACAAAACCCAGAATAAAACAAAGTACCCAGAAACACGGACGTGGTGTTTGTGAGGGTTACTCAAGTTCATTTGACTACTCCTGAACATATGAAGGCAGGGAGAATTTTATTATTCGCTTCAGTAGAGGAGGATTGGAACCAATAAGCCAGATTCATCCCTGCCATTGCAAGGACAGAAAAAGTTAGTGTCTCCCTAAGTCTTTCTGTACAATGGCCCAATGGATTTTGAAAGGCTGCAGAATTGTTGTAAGTACATCATGACAACAATCCCCTCCCCCTCCCATTCAGCCTTCCATATCCTGTCTCTGCTCCAGTAGTGGCCTGCCATATGTATCCATGATTGCAGCAGAATCATGGAACAGTAGGGATCAGCTACTTCTGCTGCACTTGGATGTCAGGATTGTCTCCACAAGTGCCCTTTAAAGCTGGGATTTAGCAAATATAGTCTGACTTTGGCAGACTCTAAAGGATGACTGCAAGTCAGATGATCAAGGATACAAGCACTGAGATTTTCTCCAGTAAATTATGGAGGTACAAATGTTATAGCTGCACCACATAGCAAAAGGGAGGCTGGGCACCAGCCCCTTTGAAAAGTTAGTTCTTAGTGCTGTAGCATCAGTTTGGCCCACCATGAATCATAGAGTATGTGTATCAGATTTTAGAAAAACAAAACACTGCATGGATCAGCTAGCTTCCCCAGCCTCACCAGAAACCTACATGTAATTAATTGTAAGTTTTCTAGTCTTGTAATTGTCCTGCAGGCAAAATGTCCATTGAGCATAGCTCCCTGGATGTTTTTTCCTGCATAAGAGGAAGCAATCTGCTTTAGTTTAGGACATCTATCATGGTAGCTCAGCTGTCACATTCACCAAACTTTAGTCTTCCTTCAGATCTTGGTTTACTGGCTGTTGTCAGATTGATACTAAACAGGTTTTGAAATACAATGTAAATGGAACCTTCTGTATTTAACTATAATGTGAGAATGGTCTAGATAAAAACAGTCTTGCCATTGGTGCAGGGCCCTGAACTAGAGGACCTCCTGAGGTCCCCTCCAGTCCTTTGAAGGTGGCAAAGCTGATCGTTCACTGAAATATACCATACAACTGTATAGATTCCACCTCTAAAGATATTGCAGGAGTGGCTGGTTGCATTCAGAAATGCTAAACTGTAAACGTACTGGTCAAGGGTGATCACATCTTGGTATCCGTGATATTGCCGAGCCAATCTTAAGGCAAGGTCATTGGCTTCAGATCTACAAAATAATATACACGTTAGGGAATTATACACACTACCCAATTATACACACTAGTTTATTGCAACACCGGGACTAGATGGCTTCAAGCAAGCACTTATCGGTCTTTTTAATTTAAAACAGAAAATGGCATGAAACTGATGAATGCAAACAATCAACACAGCAGGCTCTGTTATACAGATTAGAATACTATGAATCAGAACAGAAATACAACATAAGAGGGAAAACAGATCTTTGTATATGCAGCAAACAAAGAGATGCTTTATATCCCTAGCCCTGTTTGGCTGGAGCACTTTACCTCCCCTTTGTACAGATAAGGCCACTCTGTGCAGCAGCCAGCAGCTGGGAGAACAATGTAACTGCCACTCATCTTAAAGTTACAAAATTCCCAGCAGCTTCCCAGCCTCCACATGGGTCAGGTGCTGCTCAGCACTTTGTAGCATCATCATTATTGCAGTATAGCCCACTTTAAAATGTATTTCAACCCTCATACACCACTGATCCATTTGCTAAAAAGTAACATCATTTGTGGTGGGGAATACACATCACTCTGGCTCCACATTATAGCAATGTCTGAATAAGGATTTCAGGTAGTACCCATATATGCAAGCTTCCCAGATATGCTAAAGAAATAGCTCCACTCTGTTAGAGATGCACTGAGGCATCTATTTAGAGTATGGGACTAGATATTGATTTATAAATCTCTTTGGACTGAAGAATAGCAGCATTTAACATTTCATAGTAGAAAGACTGTTGATTAAAACAGACCCACAAAATGCCTCTGCAGAGATCAACCAAAGAGAATGAAGTAGATTTCTCCCCTGAATTTTATTTTTGAGGTTGTTTCTTCTTTTGTTTGATCCCTCATTTCTAAATACTCAAGTCTGTTTTCAGGAGAGACAGGGTGTCAGCTTTTTCTGCTATACTCTCCTCTAGTCATTAAAGAAAAGGATTATTACTGCTTCAAAGTTTCCATGTGGCAAGTCAAATCTAGTCCTAATGAAGTCAATGGGAAAACTGCCATCAACTCCAATTGAAGCTGAATTTTCCCTACTAAAGACCAATCATAGCAATAATCAGAGTTCAGGACCTGTGCACAAAGCTAGAGATTTCTCCAGGGATCTATGCTAGGGATGAGTTTTGTACAGCTTATACATGATTGGGAATCCAGGAATGCAAGTGAACATGCAATTTTGCTCAGTTAAGCCAAACATTTAGCACTGACTAAAAGAGTTGCTAAACATTTTAGTTTAATCCAATTATGTATTTTCCTATTGTTTACATCGGGTGGGAAACCTTTTTTGGGTTGGGGACCACTGACCCACAGAAAATCAGTCGGGTGAGGGACAGTATGGACTGAAGTGCCAGCATGGGCTCCCCCATGTTGGGGGATGGGGGGGAGGAGAGAGCCCTGAGCGCCGGAGGCCAGATTCAGGCAAGCCAGGGACCATACCTGGCCCCTTGGCCTTAGGTTCCCCACCTGTGGTTTACATGCTGTTTGTTTCCTTTTTGCACAAGTTAGGCATAGACAATGAAAACAGACTAGTCCATTTCACTTTGCTTAGGGTCAGTTTCACTTTCTGGTTTTCATGCACTAAGACAATTCAGCAAGGTGAGGTTATCAAACAGTGCAGAGGATGTTTCTGAGCCTGACAAAACACAATTCCAGGAAAAAATGTTTTATTCAGAAATACATTTCCCTGGAAACAGTTGTTACTTTTGTTAAACCCTGGTTTTCCAGTGTTTAAAATTTGGGTCTAAGTTGACCTGACAGTGTCCTTATTTGAAGAGCAACAAAATAGTATCAATAAAAAAAAATCCTTCAGACATACCCAGAGTTAACAAAATAACAAACGGAGAGTTTCTCTGGCAGGGTAGCTGTGAGGCGCTTAGCATACTGGACCAGATTGTCATGCAGGAAGCGGGAATTAGTGTTGAGCAATTCCATCTGTTTCACTGCAGCCTTGATCACATCTGGATGGCTGTGACCAACTAAACAAGACAAATTATTAATAATTACTGACAGGTGATCAGTTCCTGATTCCCACAGAGTGAGTCAGGGAGCTCTTCTGAATCTAGCACTGTAAACTTGCCTTGAAAAAGGATAATCTGATTTCGAATAAGAATGACATAAACTTAAGTCAATGGACTTTTTGTACTTACCATGTGCAACGTTGTTGATGCAATCTAGGTATTTTTCTCCTCTCTCATCATACATGTACTGCCCCTGAGCTCGCACTATCTTGATAGGGTCCTTAGCAAAGAAAACTTTGCATGATGGTCTAAAAAGTATAAAATAACATTGTTTCAGCTTGCTCAGATGTTGCCCTTCTTTGGGAGCTCCAGAAACTAGATGATCTCAGGAAAATAAAAACTAAATCCCACATACTCCTGCAGTTACAGCAAAGGCAAAGCTGCCACTGACTCCAAAGGCACCTTTGCCTTTGCTGTATGGGTGGCTGCTGAAGTGCAGGATCCATGAAGTGGCAAAGCTTGCAATACTAAAATTGTGAAAGCCATTCAGTATATTATAGATACATGGTGCCAGCTCTTCTATGAAGTGTCTATGAAGCAGACATGACTCCTTTTTTATACTATGTAGTTTAATGGATATGAGGCCTGAAACAACTAATTAAAATGAATGGAAGGGCTCCCATGGATTTCAATGGGAACAGAAGCAGGTCATTAATGAGGTTATTTTCAAACCCCTGCTTTTGCATTTAGAGGCTTGTCTAAATGGGGACACTGTGATAAAATTCATCCAAATTGCATTAAATTCCTATGTGGACAGGTTTGCAGTGGCTAAACTTAACAACAGACTTGAATTTTGAATAAAAGCAACACCACAGGAATTTAATATGATTTAACTCATCCGACTTAAAACATAGTTCCAACTAACATTCCTGAATGTGTCTGCATACAAAAGTCCTGTGTATGATTTCCCGTGAGCACAATGGAAGTGCATCGTGCTGCATCCTTTGATGTCTAGCTATGTTTGACTGACACAGTCTTATTAATTTATACATTATGAAAGTTTATATAAAATTAACTCTGGAAACAGGATTAATTTTAGAGAATTTTTAAAAGTATGACCAAAAATGTACTGCACACTGGAGAACTATGCTGAATTTGATGTAAGAGATGTATAGAGTTTTGTATATAAGAGCAAAATATGTCTTCAGTTTTAAATTGTACTTTGGGCATTTTATTCTGTTTCATAATTTAGGTTGCTCACTTCTGTGAAAACTGCCATCAAGTACAGTACATGAAACAAATCAGTTTGTGAGGCTGCATTTGTCAGGGAAAGGCAGTCTAAATATCCTAAAATCTGACCTTACTCTTGCTTTCTAATTTCTTGCACCAGTTATCTACAGCCAGGAGGTACTACCTATATATGACAACTTAAATTTGATATAAGCAAACTCAGATTGTTTTGCAACTGAAATAGAAGGTACCATGGATTACTGCTTTCAGCACCAAGCTATAAAAGTGCCAAAGTTCCCTGAAACCACAGGCTACCAAGAAAACCACTCAGCCCTTATATGTCTGAGGTAGGAGGACTACATTTATATAATTTCCGCTGTGGATAAGACCTTTAAAACCAAGATCACGTGCTAGGTTGTGATCTCGGTTAACAGTGATAAATTAATCACGGTCAGTGCAGTTTCTGTGAATTTGCATGAGTGCAACAGAGGGCAGGATTTGCCTTGTTTGCTCCGGCTTGAAGCTTTATGTAAGAGCAGGTGTTGACCACATTTCCCCCTCCATATGACTTACAGAACGCACCATGTCTTGGCGGCTGCCTTCCCCAGGGGGAGCGCTGTATGTCTTCTGGATGATATAATTTTTGGAGCACTTTGATGTTCTCTCTGAAGGGGCTATAGACTTGTCAATGGCTCTGCGGCTTACGGGGCCTTTTTATTTTAGTCATCAACCCCGTTTTGTGGAAACTTGGTTCTCTGGGGAGAACTAGCATTCGCATGTGCGCCTGGCTTCTTTTGCTCGTTTGAGTAGGTCTAGGTAAGCAGGATGCCTATTAGGAACTGATCCCCAATTCATTTAGGATACAGCGCTCCCGGATTTCCGCTAGACTTGAGCCTATTTACAAGTGATCCACGAGAAACTGCCTTAGAAAAGCCACCTTGGGACCAAAAAGCTCCATGTCACTCTGGCCGCAAAAGGCGCATCTTCCCGGAGCCCAACTTCCAGGGCAGCCCCCTTTAGACTTGGGGCTGCTTTATGGAGCGAAGCATAGTGCTGAGAGCCCCACACCCACCCCCCCCCGA